GGAGGTTAAGGCTACAGTGAGTCAGCCGTGATCATGCCAGTGCACTCTAGCCTGGGGAACAAAGCAAAATCCTGTCTGAAAAAAGAAGAGGAAGAAGGAGGAGGAGGAGGAGGAAGAGCAGAAGGAGGAGGAGGAGGAGGAGGAGACAAGAACTGAAATTCTTTAAAACTTATATTACAGTGGATGTTCAATTTTTTTAATGTACTCCCAACATAGAAAAATTTCCCAGATATTTGAAGCATCCTTACCAAATGCTTACCAAGCATTACCAAGTCTTAGTAAGTATCCCAAAAGAAATGCTAAAATAAAATTTGTACCTAACAAATTCTAGCTATTTCCCAGAATTAATCTGATGGGTCATAGCAAAAAAAGTTTTAATATTTTGTATGACAAACAATGTTTTTTTTTTCTTTTAATTTTCCTGGTATATTAATTCAGTCTGACCACACCACTAAGAAATTCTACTTCAAATAATTTTTGTTTTCCTTTGTTCTAGCAATTTAGTTGTGACTTTTCTTCACTCATTTTATTCAATTTCTCCAATAGTTTTATTCATATTATCTGATAATAAAATAATGTGGTTTTATCTTGATCAACCATACCAATAATTATTATAAGGAATTTGAAATGCAAAAACTTTTGAATACAAAGAATCATGGCTAGAGCTTTTAGTGATTAAAATATGACCAATTACATTGAAAGCCTATTTTGAGGACTATAAGATTTGGGATAGAGATAAGCCAAGAACATGGAAAACATCTGTCAAACAAAGAATAACTCACAAAAATTGTTCAAAGAGTTATGGCAAAGTTTCTACCAGATTCCAAGAAATCAGAAAGGCCTCATGGAGAAGCTGACATTTCATTTTTAAAAAATTATTTGAGAGAGAAATAGGCTATGTCAAAACAAATAAGAGGTGAGAGTTACAGTCTAGAAGAAAATAGTATCAGCAAAGAGTCAAAGAAAAAAGGAAAAGAAAATGTGCATCCAGGGAGATGAAGGCATTCATTTCCTCCATAGTATTCTGTACTTAGCACTACCTGGAATTTGTCACAACATGTAGTGGTCTTTTATTTATGTCTTTCTCCTCACGAGAGCATGTGTTGTTCAAAAATGAAGACCTTATTTTACTATCTTTACGTTTTTATAATATATATCTATATAATTTCCAATATAGAGAAGGTTTTTTTATGTTATCAAATTAAAAAATGAATGAATGAATATTTCAGTCCAAAAGAAATGTAAGGGAGTTATTGGTGATGTGAATAAAAAAAAGATTGAAGTAATAATGTTGTAAAAAGGAAGAGGTGAATAGTCACTGAAGGATTTTGAGTGAAAACTGGGCATAAATGAAGAATGCTTTAGAAAAATGGCCTGGCTGCATCAAGAAGACTTTACTAAAATGGATATAAACTAAAGGAAGGAAGAAGCCCAGTTCCAAAGCATAAGTAATAATTTAAGTCAGAATCAAGTTAGTAGCCATGAAAATGGGGTTGCCGAGGGCAATGCTCTAGCAGCTTGTAGAAATGGTTCTGCTGTCAGCCTCCTTTGCCCCACAGAAATCAAAGATCTGCCTCTAAGGGCCTACTCCAATGAGAACATGGCCTGGTCATGAGTTAGATGTTCCCCTCACAGCAATGTGAGGGTTGAAAATAGTCTGTAGGCCTGGGGTAGACGCAGTCCTTTGGACATAAGCATCTACTTACATCCCCAGTTATCTCCCTCTGCAGCCTGTCTGCCTGATTGCCTTCTTCCTGGGCCCTTGATGCTCATTTTAGTTTCCTCACAAAAGTATATTTTGGCTCTGCACCCCACCCTGAGCAGCCAGTGCTACACTTCCATACTCTGCATTCTGCCAGACTGACTCTCCAGACAATGTTGGTGCTCACAGTCTGATAACATTTTTCCTGATACAGAACTCAGGTACCCATGTGATACTGGTAAATGATATCACTCCAAAACATTCAAACTGAACTTCTGCTTTATTCTAGAACAGACAATTGATGATTATTGACCTTGACCTAATGATTTGAAGAACTGGTTGCCCTGGCTTTTTGCTTGTCTTTGATTAAAAACTTCCCTATACCACATGGACAAGCCATCCCTTATAATTGAATTATGGATTAAATATGCATGTTGTTTTATTATTTTAAATAACAAATGATATCATTTTAAATCACAAATAATGTTATAAGGGTATAAGAGTTATAATTATACCCTTATAAGAGATATAATTAATAGAGGTCAGTAACAATTAAATACAACACATCAGAGTTTCTGGAATAAAAAAAAATCAATCTGAGATTTTTAGCTTGCTTAGTTGAGAAGACAGTTTCCTTAACAGTATAGAAGTCAGAAAGGGAAAATATGAGGATGGCAGACGGGAGGAGAGCAAGAAGTTTGGTTTCAGACAACATAAATTTGATATGTTAAGTTAAAACTAGACCAAGTTGCAAAAGAATGGTTGGAGCTTAGAGGAAAAGCCAAGTCTAAATATTGATATTTTTAATTAAGTAATAAACATGAAGAGACTTAATTAAATCATACTTATGGTAACTGAATAGTCAACAACACAAAGAAAATGAGTTTATAAATAAATAAAGCGGATAGAGGGAAATCTTGGTAAATGGTTAGGGAAAGTTGGGAGAACAGAGGCTGAACAGAAGCTAAGAGAAAAAGATTTCAGAAAGAATATATAAACTATATAAATTTCCCAAATAAGTCCAAGTTAAAGATTAGTTGGTGATGCCTAGAGCTTGGAGTTGCTCTTTGTGGGAACATTTTCTGGAACATGCCAAGAATGAAAGCCAGGTTGAGAGTGACAAAGCAGTGAGAGTCAACAAGACAGAGTCAAGAGTCTGCCCAAGTTTCAAGAACTTTGGTATTGCATAAAAGAAGAAAAGAGGGTATAATCTGAAGGGGAATTAGATTGGGATAAGTTTATCTTCTTTAGAATAGGAAAAGCTTTGAACCCTTTTGTCAGCAAAGGAGAAACCAGCAAACAAAAATGTACAGAAGACACTGAAAAAGGCTGGTCATGGTGGCTCATGCCTGTAATCCAAGCACTTTGGATGCCAAGGTGGGAAGATCACCTGAGGTCAGGAGTTCAAGACCAGCCTGACCAACATGGTGAAACCCTGTCTTAAAAAAAAAAATCAGAAAAATGGATGAGTAAAGTTCCAGAGAAATTCGGAAGCAGGGATTTGTAATTATCTTCTTAAAGATGGCAACAAATCAGAGAAGGGAGACCAAGATTTATGGAGGCTCTAGGAAATTAGAAGTAAGGCAGAGAACTTAGGTAAGATGGTAACAAACTATCCGAATATAAAAAGAGTACTCAGTTTTACTAGCCCAAGACAACCAGCAATAACTAGGGTCATCTTCCATAATGACATTTCAAGTATGTTGTCATTTCAAATAATACAATAACAGGCATCTTAATCCAAAATTCAATCAAGATGTGTATTATATGAATATATGGATTTGAAAACTTAGAGTGATTTAATGCAAGATCATGCTTTCATGTTTACATTTGCCTTGGAGCTTAGCATACAAAAAATACTTAATACGTATTTGTTCCTAAGTAAATTGGTAAAATAAAAACAAAAACAGTTTATATTTTTTAATAGATTGGTAGCCTTAATTACCCACATACTTATTATAAAAACACACACAGAACTACATGTATACTTGTTGGGTGACTAAATAGATCACGGAAGGGGGCATCTCTTATCAAGAACCAGCTCAGCCATAGAGACCCCCACCCAGTTAGTGCTGAAGGAAATGAGAGTCAGATACCCAGATAGAATAGCAAAGTGGGTCTATCAGGGGGCCAGCAGCCCACCAAGCTGAGATCCTCAGGGGCTGACAGCATTCTAGGCTGAGGGCCTCGAGCAGACTCTGACCCACGCATTTATTATCTCTGAACAGGTGATTATTATTAACAAGCAGATGTTCAGTATTTTCTCGTAACACAAAACATGTTAAGTAGTCAGCTGGTGCCTGCTTACCACTGATCACAAACAACCTAAAAAGTATTCTCCATGAGGGAGCCAAGGGGGCAGGGTCAGGTATCTCAAAGAATTGTTTTAACTGGTGTATGATATTTAAACATTGTCTTGCCACTTTGGAATGCCCCCATAGTTGTCTACTTGTGAGGGGTGGTGCTAGGTTTTCCTTGATTTTGTTCTTCCTAGTGAACAATATATTTTATCATACACTCAACATTTCTCAATATTCATAAACTTAACATTTCTCCACAGCTTAACATTTTCTCAACAATCTCTCATCACCTAATTCACAGAAACCCAAATTCCCAAACTTGCAGTAGGGTAAGTTGTAATCCTACAGTATCTTGTAATACTTGCATGTATCACCTTCACCATGAACTGCATCTGGTTTTAATTCATAGGTACAACATTCCCCAAACAGTACCACATTCTAAGTTAACTAAATATCTGGATTGAATAGGTGAGACTATAAGAGTTGCTTCCCTGTTGTTATGGTTTGAATGCATCCTCCAAATTTTCATATGTTGAAAACATAATCTCTCCATCCTCTTGAATAGATTATTGTCACTATTGGGGGAGTGTGTTTGTTATTACAGGAGTGGCTTTGTTGTAAAAGCAAGCTCTCCCTGACTCTTGACTCCTAATCACGTGATGCTCTCCACTTCGTAATGACACAACAAGAAAGTCTTCACCAGATATAGCCCCTCAACTTTAGATGTTCCAGCCTCCAGAACAGTTAACTTAAAATTTCTTTTCTTTACAAATTACCCAGTTTGTGGCATTTTGTTATAGCAACAGAAAATGAACTGACATTTTGTCTTACCCACAGCCACTACATGAGAAAGTCAATTCCAAATCACAGCTCTTAGTCCTAAGTGGTGCAGAGTTCTTCAGGTCACTTTACCCAGGTACAACTGTATGAATGAACTAATCATAAATATACAAAGTTACTGCTTTTTATAAAATAACTTATTTTATAAATTCTTTAGGCACTTGGTAAACGAGTAGAAAAAAGTGAGGACCACCATCCATTCTAACATCGAGAACTCATATTTTAATTGGAAAGAAATGCACACAGTTCAAAATACTATGTAATCAAGGTAAGAGGGCAACAACTTTCCAAATGCTTTCCATGGGCCAGCATGGAAACATAACTCTCTCACCCTGACAGCGAGGTAAATTTTATCTTATTTCACAGATGAAAAAAACCGACTTTCAAAAGGAGAAGTAATTTGTTCAGGCTTTAGATGCCTGTTAGGTGACTATACACGCATTTGATTCTCCAACTATCCCATACTGCTAATGTAATACAGGTGTATCTTTTTGTGTGTGACAGAGTGAGACTCTGTCACACACACACACAAAAAAAGATGGAGTGCAGTGGCTTGATCTCGGCTGACTGCAACCTCTGCCTCCTGGGTTCAAGCATACTTCGGATTATAGGCAAGCGCCACCAAAGCCAGCTAATTTTTGTATTTTTAGTAGAGTTGGGGTTTCACCATTTCATTGAATGGGAGTTTACTAGGTAAAGTTTTATGGAAGAAAAAGAGTCAACATAGTTCTGAAATCTTATTTTATCCTCTGTGAGGCACTCCCTCCTAAATAGATTCTGATTCTCTGTTTTGTGTAGTTCACACTCTAACACCAATCCTTGCCCTTGTGAAAAGTATAAGCCTCAAGGCAAACAATTCTTCCTTCACAGCTGCAGTTCTGGGTGCCTGATGACATAGAATGACTCATTGGACTCCTGCCTCTTCTACTTCATTCTTATCATGAGCTCCCCTAGAAGATGTAGTTTTCCACCATTGCCAAATCCCCAGCCAGAAAGAGCAAACTCTAGGAAGCAGCACAGGCTATACTACTGTGTGAAAACTAAGTAATCCTCATCAGATCATTTAACTTGCTGTTGCAGTAAGGACTGTGAATTGGTAGCAATAAATAAGGCATGGGAAATAGGAGGGAAAACACCATCAACGGCAACAAAAACTGAATGTGAAATTTGACTACCTGAGTTTAATTTCTAATTCTGTCTCTTTCTAGCTGTGTGACTGTAAATGAGTTACTTATCTCCCCACATCTTAAACTCTTCAGGATTGTGTGCATTGAAAAGAAACAATGACGTTATAATGTATATAAAGTACTAACAAAGAATGCCTGGGACACAGTAGGTGCTCAAAAATGATATCCATTAATACCAAAAGGAGCATACCTTCTGGCAGAAATGTTAAGACATCTATAAACTGCATATATAAATTAAGTGCCATATCAATAAAATAAAATTTCTCTAATGGGGAGGACCTGGGAGTAAGTTTTTTGTCACTCTGCAGAGAACCCTTGAACATGTAAAATATTCTCTTACTTTTTACCAGAAACCTAGAACTTAGTGAGGGGATGAAAAACAAGAGCTCTTCTTATTTGTTCCTGAGAATTTAGATTGAGTTTCTGATATTTGACCCCCTACCATAGATTCAATCTGTTTCCATTTAGATGTGTCCATCTGTCATGAATCTCTTGACACTGATCTGCCCAACCTACTTGCTGTCTTCATCCTCCAGGTTGGCAAGCATCTGGATTCTTCAGAGTGTCTAGTATTATACACTACTTCTCTCCAGGCCAGCTTCTGTTTGTTACATCCATGTCAATGTAACTTTCTCACTGTGTTTTTCTCCCAACTCCAGATAATTTAAGCTCAGTGCCCAAGGTCTGAGTGCCTCATGGCTGATTTTGTACCTTTTGCTAAGGCCAGTTTCCATTCCTGGTTTCTTCTATTCTGTCCTGCCCATGACCTAATCAGTGCCCATTTTGATAACCAGACTTTTTTTGTACTACTTGAAACTCCTGACTTTTCCCAGACTTGTTCATGGTAATCCTCAGATTCTTTAGCATCAACAAAGGAGCTGTCAATGCTGGATTTCCCTTCATTCCCTAGTAGCCTGTGACACATTATTCCAGGCATCTGATCCAGAATGCACAGACTCATTCCTTGCATTGCCCAGTCTTCCAATATCTATAATCTCCTTCCCTGCAAGCACAGGAGCCTTAATGTGGTGAGAAGTCACCAAAGCCATCCCTATTATGCTATCACCTAGGTTACAGGCTTTGACAAAGTAGCAATGACCATCTTGAAGTGGCAGTCACCTTCCTGTTGGAAACAATTCCTCTTAGAATTAAAGTGAAAAAGTACATGTGGTCTCTTAGCATAAATTTTTGGATAATTTTTTTCACTGGATCACCTAATTGTTACACTCCGCTGTTTAATGAGATTGATTAAAAGACAGTGGAGACAGCACAAGTTTTAGTCGGGTTATATTGTAAAAAAATGTTTTTAAAGAGAAACTGATACGTACCTTGAGAAAATGTGAATTGCATTAGTTTCCTAGGGCAGAGGTAACAAATTACTGCAAACTGGATTGTTTACAAAAATAAAATTTTATTCTTATATAGTTTCAGAGGCCAGAGCCTGAAATCAAGGTGCCTGTAAGGTTGGTTCCTTCTGGAGGTCCTGGGAGAGAAATCATCCCATGCTTCTCTCCTGGCTTCTGGTGGCAATTGGCAACCCTTGGCTCATAGAAGGTCATCAGTACACTCTCTCTGCCTCCGTTACCATGTGGCATTCATCCCATGCGTATCTCTGTGTCTTGATTCTCTCTTCATATAAGGACACCAGTTATTGGATTAGGACCCACCTTAATCCAGTATGTCCTCATCTTAACCTAATTACATCTGCAAAGATCCCATTTTCAAATAAGGTCACAGGCTGAAGTTCCAGGTAGACATAATTTGGGGGACACACTACTCAACCCAGCATATGAATATTAGTGAGAAGGATTATAAAGCACCTAGCAAAATGTCTGGCACACAATTAGGGTTTAATAACTAGTAATTATTGGTACTTGAGGCTTACTAAACTGGCTACTGGGCACTGAGTAATGCTAACGTGCTGAGCATGTAGTGAAGGTCAGAGCAATTTATAAGCATGTCAGTATATCTTTCTCACTGTTTTTCTTCCAACCCCAGATAATTTAAGCTTAGTGTCCAAGGCAAGTAAATTTAAACCTGAAATCAATCAGTTTGCTCTGGTTTCTTGTAAGCCACATTAGTACCCCTGAAATATAAGCAGGCAATTAGCAAAGTCCTCTAATGCCTTGAATTAAATTTTGTGCCAAACTTCACTGCATGCTAATAATAGATTGCCTCATTGCTCATCAGTAAAGGGAGGATCCCTAACTGCTGCAAATTAAGTCGTGAGCTTTTTCTTTGTTTGTTCTAATTGCATGCTTTTCTCTGCTAAGTCTTTGTGGAGTCAATGGCTGCTACATCTCTACTCTTTGTATACATTTTTTTCTTGGTGCTAAAGTGAAAATTGTGATTTTTCTCAGATATAGGGCTTTGTAAGAAAAAAAAATACCCCTGTTTTCCTAAGAATTAATCGTGATTATGCTGGGAAATAGAAAACTGAACTGGAAGAACCTAAAGAATCCCTCTAGCAAGGAGCTTCTGTTTTTCCTCTTGACCTTGCTGCCATTCTCTCTCCCAAGCTAATTCCCAATTGTTCCACAATTACTTCAAATTAGCCATTACTTCTTCAAATTTTAAAATCTTGTTATAGGATGTTTCAGTTCAAAACTCCAGCCTACACTATTTAAGTTTCCAAGCTAAATTAGCTTGAAAGAAAAAAAGAAAATTCTGCCATATGTGAAAATATAAATGAACCTCAAGGAAACTATGTTAATAAGAGGACATTAACTTATGTAGGCCTTATTGTTTTGAATTTTTTCAAAATGTATATATGTTAGAATAAACATATAATTAAAACATTTTCTAACTACTACTTTACCTCGATATCAGATTTTTCCTATGTATACAGCATTGTACCATAAGGCATTTTGAGGTCAGGTGGTGACTACAAAGATACATTTTTCTAAATACACTATTCTATCCATGAATCAAGCCAAACTATGAGAAAAAAAACTCTGTACCTAAATCATGTTTTACCATCCCGTACTTTTTAAAAAAACTTTTTCTTTTTTTTTCTTCTGAATTATTCTATAATGTGGTACCTCTAATACACTTTGAGGAACATTATAAGAAATAGCTTCCTGAAGCACACTTTTGTATACCCCAAAATAATGTTGTGAAAAACATGGTTTAACACATGGCACCTGAGGACAAACAACAAAATAGTTCTCCAGATTCAACGCTGAGGAATGTTTTACTCTTCTGAGTAATTGCTTTTGTTTTATTGTATAGACCCTTTGAGATGGTTAATCAACCATAATTCTGTGCTTTTCAGGGTATGCCAGAAATCTTAATGATGTATCTATTTTCTGTCACTAGAAAAGAGACAGTGTCCCTACAGCTTAGTGGTGTGCTAATCAAACTAGTGGTTTTGTCTTATTTTTCTCACCTTCATTCCCCCATTCCTCTGCTGTGGTTTGCATGTTTCCAAATCTCATGTTGAAATATGTTCCTCAATGTTGGAGGTGGGGCTTAGTGGGAGGTGTTTGGGTCACAGAGGCAGTTTCCTTATGAATAAATTAATACCCTCCCTAGGGGTGACTGAGATATTGCTCTGTTAGTTCCCAAAGGAGCTTGTTGTTTGAACAAATCTGGTGCCTCCCCCTCTCTCATTCTTCCTCTCTTGCCATGTGATCTCTATGCAATCCAGCTCCCTTTTGCTTTCTGCCAGGAGTAGAAGGAACCTGAGGCCTTCACCAGATGCAGTAGACCAAACTTGAACTTTCCAGCTATGGGAATCATGAGCCAAATAACCTTTATTTTTTATAAGTTAGTGAGCTACAGAGATTCCTTTGTAGCAACACTAAATGAACTAAGATATCCCCTTTTTAACCATTTTGGTGTGCATCTTACTATCTACCTTAAGTCTTTTTAGAAGAGGGCAAAGTAAAATGAAAAATATTTAAATTAAGGAAATTTAGTTTACACATGGTCTTGATTAAAGAAAACTGGTTGGATTAGACCTAATTGAATTTAAATTATCTGTGGTTTCTAAGATGGCCATTAGGAAGACAGGTTAGTTTTTCACATTTCCAATCTACTTGTGAGATTCTTTAAAGTATAGACATCTTATATTTAGAAAGTAGTAATGAGACTGAAAAATAGAAATTGTTGTCATTAATTACTATTACTGACTCCTCATTTTACAAAGGCCTTGTAGGCATTCTGTAGGTAAAATTGCATAGACCCACTATCTTTTCCTGGGAATCTAGAATCACAAATAAAAGGCACACCACATTTAAATCAAGCAACTTTAGATCCAGAAAGATTCAAACTAAGAAGTGTTTGTATCATCCTAAGAAGTGAAGGATATATTCAGTTGTGGTTGAAAGAAGTTGCTGTAAAACACATTCATAAAAAAAGCTTGTGCCTCTTTGAGGTAAACAAATGACAGTTACCAGGAGCCACAGGGTTTAAACAACTTCTGAATTATTTCAAATAACATAAGAAAAACATTCCAGGAATGACCTTATAAAATACTTTTCTATTTGTACTATTAATTTTTTCAGATACCAGTTTACTAGGAGAAAGTAAAAATCTGTGAAATATAATGCTAAATCTATAAGTCTGCAAGCTTAAATTTAAATATTTCAAATAAATACATTACTTGAGTTTGTAAAAATGTTAAAATATCCCCAGTACTTGAATTATTAAAAATAAAATTTCCCAGGCTAAAGCTCAGTAGGAGAGGAATGTTTGCTCCATAATTCTTTTCCTCATCCCTAATTCCAAAAGTACTCCTCCCTTTGTATAATAAAAAGACAGTAATCATCTCAACTTGTCAGGAAATACCATGCCATGTAATTGTCAGACATGCCACAAAATGTAGACAAATAATGCTTTTGAATTACTATTTTCTCAGCTGCCATCCCTATTACAATGCAGCCACATAAGCTGTTGGTATCATATTGCCATTCCAGCTTTTGTGTTACCATAATTAATCACACCAGTCATGTAGGAACCAAGAGTCTTTAGTCATTATCAT